CAAATTTAGTATCAGTTTAAAATAAAACAAAGCATAAAGTAGCAGAAACTGACACTAAAGCTCCCTTAGACCCTCCCATGAGGCCCCCCACTTACCCGTCACAAAACAAGGAAAAGTCTTTTTTTCTGTTATTTTGACTTATAACCCATAATAACACAGAACAAAAATGTAAAGATACAGAGATGTAATTGTATCAAGATAACATTTACAAGTATCACGATGTTAGCGAAGTAAAGACGAACTATAACAGACAAACAGACGAACAACACGTAAACAGAGTCCGTCGTACAAACATAAACTGTGTATGAAAAAAATTGTAGATCAAAACTTTGATCAATGTAAACGAAACAAAAAAAAGACACAAAGACATTGATTCAATACAAATGTCAGACAGGCAAACTTCCAAACAGATGGAAAAAACTAATAGAGATAAACATTTAAAGTCTACAATATAAAAGAAAAATACCAAATACAGAATCAAGTTCTGAGTCAGAATAAGGTTATTAATATTAAATTTAACAGTAATGAATAGTCAAGAAGTTAAGTCAATAAATTGAAAAGTGCAGATTTTTACAAAAACTGTTTTTATTGGAAAAAGTTCTTCTAAAACCTCGATTGTTTCGGGGCGAGTTTTTTCCTTTGGATTAATTCCAGGGTTTTTTGACTAGCCTCACCGGTCTTCAGTCATGAATGAACACAAAACTGTGCTAGGGCTTCGTGTAAAAATCAGCGGAATTGATGCCAGGCGCCAGGCAGGGATCACCGGCCTTACCGGCAAGGAGTGGTCCCTGAAACATAGGACTTTTCCGGGTATGCTAATTAGCCCAGATCCGATGCTTTGGCATAGAGAGCTGGCTTAACTGGCAAGAAGTGAACATCTTGAAATACGGAGTCTTCTTTAAAAAAAAGCTACACCGTGAATGAATTGAAAGAATTAATAGAAAGTGCAGTATCTAAAGTAAAAAAGCAATCAAAAGAATGAAATATGGGAGATTGGAAATGGTGCGATAAAGAATGGAAAGAGAAAAAGAGGGAATTACAAAAAATAATGAAGTTGTGGAGAAAAAAAAGGAAAATAGAACAAGTTATTACATAAACAAATAATGAGAGTACAGAAATTCGTATGACGCAAAAAAAAAGATTTAAAAAATTAGAAGATGAAAGAAAGAGAACACAACATCGTAAAGTAAAATGTGGAAGTATACTAACAGGTTCAAAAAAAAAAAAACGAAATAGATAAAAAAATTACATTCGAAGAGTGAAGAAGGTATTTTATGGAAAAGTAAGATGGGAAGGATGAAGAAAGAATCGTGAGAAAAGAGACAAGAATTGAAAAAAAAAACTAATACAGAAGATTGTAAAGAATTGAGCAAACAAGAATTCAAGAGGCAGACTGCAAGGTTAAAAACAAGAAAAGCACCAGGAGAAGATAAGCAAANCGCTGGTCACCGTATCTTACCGAGTTATTGCGACCTTCTTTTCCTGGTCGAATACGCAATGTCCGACGAAACATTTACAACCTTGTAAGATTTTATGGTTTATTAAAGAAAAAAGTACCAACTATAAAATAATCACAAAGCAATAATTTGAGAGGCAGACTGCAAGGTTAAAAACAAGAAAAGCACCAGGAGAAGATAAGCAAAAAAGCGAAGTATAGAAGCACACGCCTAGAAAAGTAAACGCAGCTCTTTGGAATTTAGTTAAGAAAGTATGGGAAGAAGGAGAATTTTCAGAGCAATGGAAACAAGTGCTGATATGCCTGATTTACAGAAATTGAGATAAGGATAAGGTAGAAAAATATAGAGGAGTTACATTTACGTGTACAACATATAAAATTTATGCAAGTTTGTTAAATGAGATGTTAAAGAAGGCAATCAAAGGTACACTAGCAGAAAGCTAGTTTAGATTTAGAGAGAAGAGAGGAGTAATAGAAGCGATACACACACCATAAGACATTGTGGATGAAAAATTTAGCAAAACAAGAGGAAATATATTTGCCTGTTTTATAGACCTAAACTAAGCATTTGATAGAGGGGATAAGCAGGTATTAAACAAAAGATTAATAGAGATAGAGAAGAACGAAAAGTTGAGAAAAAGGATCATGGATATCTATAAAGAAACTGGGAATGTAGTTGAAGTAGGTGAGGAGTCCAAGAAATTCTGGACAGAGAAAGGTGTGAGGCAAAGATGTCCATTGAGCCCAACGTTGTTTTATGTGTATCTAGTGGACTTTAAGGAGAAATTAAAGAGAGGGCAAGTGGGAGGATGCAGAGTTGGTAATGAAAAATTATAGAGTTTGTCTTACGTGGATGATATAGTATTAAAAGCGGATGGAGAAAAAGAATTAAAAGAGAGTATAGAAAGATTCAAAAGGTACCTTTATAGAAACAAAACGATTTTAAGTGGGAAAAAAACAAAAATTTTAGTGTTTTAAAAAAGAAAGGGAAAATATAGAAGGTTGAAGTGGGGAAGTGAAGAATTGGAAGAAGTAGACAAAATAAGATATCCAGGTTATATGTGGCGTCTCACATTTTTTGCGCTCCAGGCTCTACTTGCTAGGTGGCGAAGCTCCTAATAATTCTCTTCCGTCAAGCAGCGAAATACCCGCTCGATTACTATATAGGCTCGATCGAGTCAGTCTAAGTCCACACTTCTATTGTGTCTAAGGCAGGGAGCACGCTATCAGCCTTATTGATGAGTCCTCGCATGCTGTGGGGATGAAACACTTTTTTCTCTCGTTGATAATCTCACGATATCTACATATATACTACAGAAAAATGGGAGAAATGACAGAAATATAGAAGAAAGGAAGAGGAAAGCAGTGATCGCCATAAATAATGCATAAATCATAGGGCAAAGAATATTCAAGAATAGCTACAAAAAAATAATGTAGTTGTTTGCGGCGTTAGTGGAAAGTATAGCCTTGTTTGGTCCAGAAGTATAGGGTAAGGACGAAAAAGAAAGGCTAGAAACTGTACAAAGGAGATATGTGAAGTAGATTTAGGACTAGATAGCAATACGCCAAATTATATAGTTGCGGAGGAGTGTAGATTAGAAAAGATGAGTACAAAGGCGCTTAGGAAAGCGTTTAAATTTGAAAATGAAATTAGGGACTCAGGCATAAAAGTAACAAAAGAATTTATAAGAGAAAAAGTTTAGTATAAAAAAAGAGAGAAAATAGGAAAAGAATGAAAAAAGAGAGGTTAGTTGCTACGTCAAGAAAATATAAAAGAAACAAGATTCATAAAAGGGGTGGAATTCAAAGACGAAGTAAGAAAAAATATATTAAAGAACAAGGAAAGAAAAGAAAAGAAGAAAAGAAAAAATTGGAAAAAATAGAGACTTCACGGTACAACAAGGTATATAAAGATATAAGAACATAGGAAGAATCAGGGTATTTGAAAAAAGATGTGCCATCAAAAGATAGGAAGTTAGTAGTAAGGTTTAGGTGTGAAAATAAATGCAAAGGTAGAGAGTATTGAAAAGCAGATGAGGATAAGAAGTGTAGATTATGCAAAGAAGAAGAAGACCATAGACATATATTAAAGATACGCAGCGATACGAGAAATGAGAAAGAAATGGAAAAAATATTAAGTTATGATGCAAAAGAGATAAAATTACTAAGACGTTATTAGAAGAAGAATAGAAGCCGAAAAGGATTAAAAGGCAAAGGAGAAGACTGAAGAAAAGTTATAGTAGTGAAGAGAAAAAAAATAATAGTAGGATAGGAAGGAAAAGAAAAAACAGAAAGTGTATTAAACAAAAAAGAATGAATATATAAGGACCAATTAAAGAAAATACTTGTTGAAAATTTCAAATCTTATCAATAAGTTTTTTTTTGTTTTTATTTTTACTGTTTAATATAATTTAAAAGTAAAAGTAAAAAAAAAAATTTAGAGTGTATGTATATAGAAATGAAAATAATTTAATATAATAATTATGTAAAAAATATATCAAAATTGGAATGGAATCCCTCCAAACCTAGGGGTGAAGTCTTGTGAAATCACATAT